TTCTCCCGGCTTATTTACAGTAACATCATTACCATACAGGGGGACATATTGGGTAATATTGGATACAGTGATACGCCTTTGGGGCTCTGAGACACTCCAGTGGACTTTAATCCGCCATACTGTCTACATGTCTGCTAATAACTTAATTACACACACTTCCCAAGATCAAACACTGTTTCAGGTTCAAAGACTGGAAGACTTGAATGTGTTCTTATATGTAAAATCCATGAGCTTTAATAAATAAATTATTAAATAAGTTTAATAAAGCCACACATTTCCATTTACTCAAGAAACTACAGTAGAATCAGCTTATTCAGCAAATATACTGCTGTTCAAAAGTCTGGAATCAGTGTTGAGATTAATATAAAATCTATCTGCAGGTAGATGGAAAAAATGATCCTAATATGATACTAACGCTCTTTATAAACATCAAATAATTAGTATGAAGCTGTAAAAAATGAAGAAATGTTAGATGTGTCCAGGGTTATGAGGAGCCGTAGACTCTAAGAAGAATGAGGAAGATGTAGAACATCAATAATGAGGTTCTAATAAAATTAAGACCACAATTTTATTAGAGGAAAATTCTAATAATCATCCAGAATCATCCAGAAGTTCTAATAAGGTTAACATCTAGAATGAAGTTCTAATAAATTAATATCAGAAAGAAGTTTTAATAAAATGAACATCTAGAATGAAGTTCTAATAAAATTATCATCCAGAATGAAGTTCTAATAAAATTACCATCCAGAATGAAGTTCTAATAAAATTACCATCCAGCATGAAGTTCTAATAAAATTAATATCTTGAAGTTCTAATAAAATGAATATCCAGAATGAAGTTTTAATAATATGAATACCTAGAATGAAGTTCTAATAAAATTAATATCTTGAATGAAGTTCTAATTAAATCAACATCCAGAATGAATTTCTAATTAAATTAATATCCAAAATGATGGATGTTAAGGGATATTGAACAAAACTGGATATTAAATGTGAATAAAATGAACATCCAGACCGACACTCTACTCAAACTGATACCCTGAATACCTTGAATTTGAAAAGTGATCTAATCTCGATCCAGATAACTTATCAAGACATTAATATAAATCGATTATTGTAGTTTATTATTTACAATTTATTAACTTGTTGTTCTAAAAAAACATGAAATATTTAGTAAAACATTAAATTATCTTTGGTATCAAACTCATATTTTACTCTACACTGTTTTACCTCCTATTTGGGAAAAAAAGGACTATAAAGCAATTATTAATATGACAAGTGATTCCAGACTTGGAATGACAGTGCACCCAAACATAAAACACAATCATAATTATAATCATAAATATATTTTATTTTATAAGTCACAAACCATTATTTTATTGATTGAAACGTGAGGCCGGTGTGGTTAGAGAATCTAGGCTCAACATAGAAGTGTGTGTTGAGCTTTTCCTGCATCTTTAGTGATTTTTGAACTCTAAGACATTCATGACACTGTAGTTCTGATGAGGACCACCACTCCCCTCGTTATAAAGGACAATTATCCACCGTCTTGCTTTCAGATTATAACAGAGCTTTAAATCCTGCACTACCAGGGGAATTCAGCCCGTCGCTGTACCATCCCACTAATGAGCAGTGAGTTATCTTCATGCACTGAATGGACACTGTGGCGCCTAATATGCACAAAAACCCTACAGTTAGGCCTGTTTAAAGCACAGTAACTGAAAGAACACTCATACCTGCAGCTTACCGCCTTTGGTCCAGACCAGACCAGGAAGCAGGACACTGACACGTCGCTCTTCTTTTGCTATCCGGTGTCGACCAGAGGAGGACAGGTTCCCGTTTTGTGTCTTGGTTCCTCTCAAGGTCTCTTCCTCCTGCTCTTGGGGAGCTTTTCTTGTGGGGCTTGGATTTTCTGGATTTCCTGTAAAGCTGCTTTGTGACGTCTGTTGTAAAAAGCGCTATATAAATGAACTTTGACTTGACGTGACTTTACACTTCAGTCAATTTAGGAGGCCTGAAAGTTTGTGAACCCTTTAGAATTTTCTGCATAAATTTGACCTAAACTTTGTCCTCAGAAATCTCCTTTATTTATGCCATTAAACACTTCCACAAACGTGTTCTGAAGATCAGACTGTGATGGATCTCTGTTCTTTAAATAAAACAGGGTGGTCACTCACACCTGACTGCCGTCCCATTGATTGAAAACACCTGACTCAAATTTTACCTTCACATTATCGGCTAATCATAAAGGTTCACATACTTTTGCCACTCACAGAAATGTCATATTGGATCATATTCCTCAATAAATAAATGACAGTCTAATAGTTTTGTCTCATTGGTTTAATTTGGTTCTCTTTATCTGATATTAGGACGTGTGGAAATCTTATGAAGTTTTAGGTAAAATCTATGCAGAAATATAGAAGATTCTAAAGGGTTCACAAACATTTGAGCACCACTGTGTGTATATTATATATATACACATATATACATATATATGACCCAGTGTTTCTCCTGAAATGGAGGGTGTTAATCGGGTGTTTTTACCCCTTTGCTGCAGTAACAGCCTCTACTCTTCTGGGAAGGCTTTACACTAGATGTTGGAACACTGCTGTGAGGATTTGATTGAGCATTAGTGCGGTCAGGTACTGATGTTGGGATGGTCAGTTCTGGATCACTCCAGCTCATCCCAAAGATACTGGATGGAGCTCCATCACTCCAGAGAACACAGTTCAATGCTAGGGGGCTTTGTATGCCTACTAGCTGACCCTTAGCATTCAGCATGGTGACCTTAGGCTCCTCAAGCACATTCCATTCTACTGGTCAGTGCTTTTCTATGGAGATTATTCTTTCTTAAACCTACAGTTAAACGGTTTTTACCATCACAGAGATGTTACTGGGGTTACTGAGTTAAATGAGACTCTACTAATGGCTACTTCAGTCTGTAGCCTTTTCTTTTAGCTCCTTTCCTCCTTCTGCTCACAGAACTGACCAACTATCATCTCACCATAATAATATGCTTGATTTAACTGATAAGATTTCACTGCAGGTTTAGACATTGATGTGACTGGTGGTGTTAATACTAATTGCTAAAGATGACACTATATCACTTTTTCTTTTCCGATAACGATACTGAAACATTGTGAATTGGCTGATACATAACATGAGGTAGGTGTTTCTCATAAAGTGGCCAGTGAGTGGAAGTACAAGATAGGTGTTTCTAATAAAGTGGCCAGTGAGTGGAAGCACGAGGTAGGTGTTTCTCATGTAGTGGCCAGTGAGTGGAAGTACAAGGTAGGTGTTTCTAATAAAGTGGCCAGTGAGTGGAAGTACAAGGTAGGCGTTTCTAATAAAGTGGCCAGTGAATGGAAGTACAAGGTAGGCGTTTCTAATAAAGTGGCCAGTGAGTGGAAGCACAAGATACGTGTTTCTAATAAAGTGGCCAGTGAGTGGAAGTCCAAGGTAGGTGTTTCTAAAAAAGCAGCCAGTGAGTGGAAGTACAAGTGTTTCTAATAAAGTGGCCAGTGAGCATAGTTACTATTTCCCAATCTTGACTAGAATGACTGCTTTTATGAACTCTGGCATTTGCTGACTAATTTATGGCACTTAACAGCATCAGCTACTGAAATTAATCAAGCTGAAATAACTACAAACACAAAGGATTTGTGGAAATACACTAACTCTCCATATGTCACCAATAATTATCTCAGCTTCAGCAGAAATGTTTTCTGAAAGCCTTGATTAGCTGAATAAGGTGTATCTGACTTGGCCTGGAACCAAACTCAACAGGCCGGTTTATTGGCAGGAGGATGGCTGAACAGCTTCGCTCCAGAACATTTCCTCTTAGATTGTTTAAAAATAAGATGGGCATTATATCTGCCAGACTGTCAATTATTTCAGATACATATTATTAATCAAGTACAATCACTGTAACTTTATATACATGCTTTTCTACTTTGTATTAAAATATTGACACTATATCAAACATGATTCAAAATCAATGCATTAACAATACATCTTACTTCATATCTGCGTTTTTTGGACTGAACTGTTGGTGAGCTTATATTTAATCAATCTGATGTTGGGCCAAAAAATATGCAATTATTTTATAGCTCATCTGTTACTGATAACAGCTTGCGCATTAAAAAGAATATGAGCATCAGATGTTCAAACAGGCAGATTATACAGTGAGTACAGCGTCAATGTGCTGCTAGACAAAGAGCAAAACGTTCTGACACTGAATTCCCTCATTTGGTGCAGACCCAAAGACAGGCAGAGTGTTCGAGAACCAAACTGAAGAAAAAGTTTGATTGGACCAGAAAAAACAGGGTCAGTGTCAAAGGCCTTAAAGCAGGGGTCGGCAACTTGCGGCTCTTTCACCGCCCTGTTGCGGCTCCACAGCAGATATAGAATTTTTAGGTAAGAATAAAATAATCCTCCTTTACAGTAACGTAATGCAGGCGCCATTTAAGGTGGAACGGGAGAATTCGAACAAGAAGCTGGCAAATGAGAAGCGACTTCAGCCTCGTAGAAAGTCGAACTTTGACAGACATTTTACAAGAAATGATTCTACTTTAGTGGAAAGGTTCCTGCCGGAGATGTGAGAAAAGCAGCTATAGCTGAGTTAAAGCTTAAAGCAGATCTTAAAGCACACAAATCTGTTTTCATTTATATTAAATTTGTTAGCCTGCGTTTTATTTATTTTCCTGCATCTGTAACTCTAAAGTAATGACTATTTTTCTCCAGACTTCCAACATTTTAAAAATGTTTACGTATCACGTCAGCAGATACGTGCATGAAAAACAAAAATGATATCGGCACCAAAATTCCAATATCAGTGCATCAATATTTATATCAAAACTTGCATTTATAATTTATGCTTTATCATCACTGTTATTGTTATTATTGCTGTTATTTGTTTACTGAATAGCTGTAAAACAGGGCACGTGTAAAGACAAACCGAGTTCTGTAAGTTTTATTTTTATGTCATTCAGTCTGGGCAAATAAGGAAGTTAACAAACCAAAGCACTAATTCATTGACTTTCTTGCCCCCAGTCAGGAATGGAGAAGGTCTTTGATGTCTGCTTGTGCTCCCCGATGGTGTACTCCACATGGATGCATATATGTCTGGAACTCTGCTCTGAGGGAAACATGCTGATGCTGCCCTCCACTCTAGTGTCCTGAACAACGTCCACAGGCTCGTCCAGATAAAGCACGGCCTGCTTCCAGTGGGTCTCGGGCTTGAAGGGCGACGTGGAGAGCACCAGGGGCTGCGTGCCGTCCTCCCCGGGGAAGGTGACGGCGAACCACACGCAGAAGGCGTTGAGCGAGGAGGAGCCGAAGCACCGGCAGCAGAAGCTCCCGCTCACGCGCTTCAGCTGCTCCAGCGTGACCGTGTGTAAATCCAGCGTGGCGAACCTGCACGGGTGCGAGAGCACGTCCTCCACGCTGACCGGCTGGACCGAGATCTCCCCGTTCATGATGCACGAGCGGGCGAAGTCGGTCATGCACGACATGTCCACCCCGTACTGGCCCTTCACCTACGGAGAGGGATCGGGGCATTGAAAGGGATTGAAAAGCAGTCACAACAGTGGAAAAACATGAAATGCAATGCATGCATGACCACTGCTCCAGAGTCACATGTAGAACACGAGCCAAAACGAAAAACACAACCTCTATTAGACTGAAAAAGCTGTGTACTAGAGTACTAGAGAACTAAGTTCCTGTTGGCATGGGAATCACATACATGAAAAATTTCAATCTGGTTTTAGGCCTCATCATAGTACAGAGACAGCACTAGCGAAAATCGTAAACGATCTTATATTATTATTCTCTGACCGAGGAAATGTGTCTTTATTGGTTCCGCCTGATCTTAGTGTGGCATTTGATATGACAGACCGCTCTATCTTACTAGACAGACTAGAGAACCTTGTAGGGGTAACAGGAATAGCTCTTTCCTGGTTCAGATCGCCATCACTCACAAATCGCTATCAGTTTGTAAATGTAAACGGCAAATCATCTGTTCTTACAAAAGAAAAGTATGGTGTTCCACAAGGCTCTGTTTCAGGACCCCTATTATTCACATTATATATGCTACCACTGGGTACCATCAGTGGTGCCCAGTGCGATGACACACAGTTATGTATATCAACCAAACCAGATGATCAACTTCAACTTAATAAGATTGTGGACTGTATAAAAGACATAAAAGACTGGATGTCAAGTAACTTCCTCCTACTCAACTCAGATAAAACAGAGGTTAGAACAAAGGTTTCTTCCTCTTGCTCTTAGGGAGTTTTTCCTTGCCACTCTTGCCACTGGCGACACTCATGCCTGTTGTAAAAAGCGCTGTATAAATAAACTTTGACTTCACTCAACCTCTTTACTGAATAACAATACCATGTGGATTTGCATTTTAAAAGCGTAGCGCTGAGTTCATCTCAGAATTGAATGCAATCCACTCTGAGATGTAATGAAGGCACGGCTAGATCGCTTCCCAGCGTGCAGCACTTTCAACAGATTTCTGTGGATTTGCCTCACTGGAATGAAATCACATGTACTAACAGTGAAAACAGTAAAATACAATGCACACATCACATTTTCCACAGGTGATGTGTGTAATAAGTGCCAAAATGAAAAGCAAAATCTCTAATACAGTGAGCCTCATTCACCAACGAATTCTTAGAAAGAAATTTGTAACACTTTGTTTTGATGGTCCACTGTAGATGCTCAGTCTATCTTTAAGGAACGTTCAAATAAACATCTGTTAAATGTAACTGGATTTGAAGTCGCGTGTGAAAGATTCTATTAGGTGAGAACACAATTTACACACACTCAGGAGCATGAAATGAAAATAGCCCAACAATGTATTAGTTAAATATATTTTTAAAACGTATTTGTTACTAAGATGTGTAATGCTAAAACACCTGGTGGTTGACTGACAACAGGTCAGTAACATGATATGGGCATATATATAAAACACACATCTCAGAGAGGCGGAGTCTTTCAGAAGTAGAGATGAGGAGGGGTTCACCACTCTGTGAAAGACTGCATGATCAAATAGTGCAACAATTCAAGAATAACGTTTCTCAACACAAAATAGCAAAGAACTTTAGCTTTTCATCATCTACAGTACATAATAACATTAAAAGACTCAGAGAATCTGGAGAAATCTCTGTATGTAAGGGACAAGGTCGAAAACCAGTATTTGCTGGCTGTGATCTTTGGGCCCTCAGGCAGCACTGCATTAATAACAGACATGATTCTGCAGTGGAAATCACTGCATGGGCTCAGAAACACTTCTGAAAACCACTGTCTGTGAAAACAGTTTGTCTCTGCATCCACAACTGCAAGTTAAAACTCTAAAATGCAAAGAAGAAACCACAAATAAACAGGATCCAGAAACACCGCCACCTTCTCTGGGCCCGAGCGCATTTAAAATGGACTGAGGGGAAGTGGAAAAGTGTCCTGTGGTCTGACAAATCAACATTTGAAATTTTTTTTGGAGATCATGGACACTGTGTCCTCCAGGCTAAAGACCACCCAGCTTATTATCAGTGCACCGTTCAAAAGCCAGTATTCATGATGGTATAGGCACATGGCATGGGTGACCTGCACATCTGTGAAGGCATCATTAATGCTGAATGATATATACATGTTTTGGTAACATATGCTGCCATCCAGACAACGTCTTTTTCAGGGAAGACCATGACTGTTTCAGCCAGACAATGTCAAATTGCATTCTGCATGTATTACAGCAGCATGGCAGGTGCTAAACTGGCCTGCCTGCAGTCCAGACCTGTCACCACTGAAAACATTTGGCACATTATGAAATGAAAAATATGACAAATGAGCCCCTGAACTGATGAGCAGCTTAAATCCTGTATCAAACAAGAATGAGAAACATTTCACTTCTAAAGCTACAGCAGTGTCTCCTCAGTTCCCAAACACTTAGAGTGTTGTTAAAAGAGGTGATGAAACTCAGTGGTAAACAGGCCCCCGTCCCAACTTTTTTGGGACGTGTTGTTGGCATCAAATTAAAAATGGGCAAAATTTTTTTTCAAAAAACAAAATTTCTCAGTTTCAACAACTGATATGTTGTCTTTGTAGTATTTTCCTTTAAAAATATGGTTTACATGATTTGCATATCATTGCATTCTATTTTAATTTACATTCTGCACAACATCTCAAATTTTTCGGAAATGGTGTTGTATTAAAACACATCTCCATATATTTTTTTTTTTTCATATGGGACACGTCATGAATGTGACATAGTCTTAGGATCTTTCTCAAGAACACATTTAAGAAAAAACTCTAGTTATTAGTGAATGGGGCCCTCTTTGACCTCTTTGTTTACTACAAATGTATCTGCCTCAATGAAATGCAACCAAACCAGTGAAATGCAGTGCACATGAGGTTATGTTTAAACAGTAACATGAGGAAAACGTTTAATGAAAATGAAAAGTAAAATATCCATTACACTGATTTAAAGTTGTTTTAAGTACTGCTTAAAATTAGAGCTGGGCAACATGACATCCTGTTTAATTGGTTTTAGTGCAGCACAGTGTGTGAAATGTTGAATACAATTTATTGGATTCATAGTTTTATAGTATTTTTAAAACATGGCACTTCTTTGTCCGCTGCAAGTTATTTATATTTTCTAAAATTTGATATCATGACACATCATGCATTGTTAAAAACTTTGCGCTTTATGCTTCACCACCTCCAGAGCAAAGCAGTAGCCTCAACTTCATCACATTTCAAGGCAGACTGCTTTGAATTATTTCACAATCCTCACACGCTGTTTTCCAGTAAAGGGGTCAAGCGGCATGAAAACAATGTAACAGAGGTTTTGTTTTTTACTTTCTCAGATAGCAGGAGGATAATAAGCTGGCGGCCCACCGGCTTTCTGCTCAGAGCTTCTGGGTGGCCCACCAGTGGTTAAGGAGAGTGTCACTTTTCATCATTCACAGTCCATAAATTATTTATATTTATGTTTAAATTTATATTGTAAATTAGTTTAGTAAATAATTTTAACAGTAATATCATAAAGCCGGTTATAACTGTCTTCAATTATTTTCCAAAATAAAAGTCTGTGTACATTCAAAATATGTTTGAGGAAATCAAAACAAGACCAGCAGTAGTGTACGGTCAGCAGGGTGCCGACCTTGTAAAGCCAGCGGCCTATTATTAAACATACTAAACTGTCACTGGGGTGGAACCCTCAAGGGTACGTCTTCATTCAGGTGGGTGAAATGGCTAAAATATAATACCCTGATACTCCAAATCATTTTCACAATTCACGATATTTATTATTTCAGACGTCTGATCAGTTAGAACAGAGAAAAAATTAACCAGTAGTGCTACATTTTGAAAAATACTACCGAAAACTGAATACAATGATTTTTATACAATATTTGGCATTAAATCCAGTTAAACCGGGCTAATTTTGTTCTCTTTCTAATGAAAATGCAGTTGGTCAGTGTGTACAAGTACTGGCGATATACACGACATGTTCAGAAAAGCATATTGCATTGTGACATAACTCACTGTGCTTTTGACATATTGTCATACTGCCCAGCCCTACGTCTTCAGTACCTTTAACTATGGAACGTAACTGTACCGTATTTCACTGCAATTATATTTTTAAGCTGCATTGCCTCCACTCACTCTGCAGGCTTTTAATTTTACTGTTCTGTTTTAAAACATTCGGTTATGAAAAGGTACAAATACGAACTTTTCACCTGGAAAAACTTATTTAACGTTCACAATCAGACTTAAAACCACTGTTGTACCTTTGAGGGAACATTTACATTGTTTGTACCTTGATGAACGAAAAATATACCAGCACCTTTATTTCTGACAGTGTATGAGGGCTGAACGATTTTGGGAAAATATCTAATTGCGATTTTTCTGACAAATAATGCAACTACAAATAAAAAACTGTGATTATTTTCTATAAATTAAGGCTGTTCTTTTGGCCGAGAGGACCAGAATATCCACGTTTTGGGGATTGAGCCTTGACCCCAGAATGTAGCCTGTCAGACTGACAGTAAATTGTGGTTGTGATGTCACAACGGGGGGGGGGATTGACTGAATCTGATAGGTCTAACTAATCTACAGGCAGTTCACAAGCTCTGTGTTATTAGATCAAATTTCCCCTCAAGACAATGTTTATAATCGTGAAGGCTTTAATTTAAAAAACATTGCAGGTATTGCGATTTGAAAACTGCACTCTGCGAAATTGCGATTTTGATATAAAAACACACCTCATTCACACATCTTTTTAACTCCTCTCCACGGCACTGGATTATCCTTTATTACAGATTTTACATTTATTGTATTTTTCCTTTTTGTTAGCAGTCTGTGTGCTTGTCTGGTCAGTTATCCACTGTAAATGTACAGGATAAGAACATTTATTGACAGATTACCTGTTGACAATTTGTAAAGTGACCATTAATCTAAATAACTTTAGATTAAGGGTCTAAAATGAATTAATTTTAGATTAATTGCAGACTGCTTAGACTAAGATTACTATATAAGTTTATTTAACTTGAAAACATCCTTTCACAGGCACGTTATAGACTGTCTGAATAATTCTATGAAATTACATAATTATGCTGTTATTTTACAGACAGCAACCTTTAAATGTATTTCTGCAGGATTTCCTTAATTTCATTACATTTTAGAGACGTTCTCTAACAATGGACATTTGTAATTGTAGTAAAATTGGCCACAAAACTATGAAGAGGAGTAATTTTACAGTAGCTCATTGTAAAATTATGTAATTTACTGTAATTTTATGGGAACTATTAGGCAACTTTTGCTGCCAGACATGCTAAAAAGATGGTTCTTCAGTAGAGAAAATGGCTCTATATAGAACCATGAACACTCAAAGAACCCTTCGCATGCTTAAAGTTTTCTTTACATTGTGAGACGATTCTTTGGATTGATGGAGAATGAGTTGTATATGGTTCTATACAGTACCAACAAGGGTTCTGCTCTTGTTACCGTGTCAAGCTTGCTACAATAGAAGAACCCTTTTTGGTACTATACAGAACCGGTTTCAAAAAGGTTCTACATAGAACCATACACAGTACATTCTCCATCAATCTGAAGAATGATTTCATGATGCTTTAACCATGCAAAGGGTTTTTGGAGTGTTCATGGTTCTATACAGAGCCATTTTCTTTACTGAAGAACCCTTGAAGAACCACCTTTTTCTGCAGCTATTGCGATTGGAAGATTGCACTCTGAGAAATTGTGATTTCGATGTAGAACCGATGAATCGTTCAGCCCTGCAGTGTACGGAACAGCAGTGTGGTGTGTGTGCACTGCATTTCACTGTGTTTACACTGCAGTGGTCACCCCTCTCCGTATTCACCGTGCTCCAGAAGCTCAGCCTCTCCTCGGCCACCAGGTGGTTGATGGGCGCCACGAAGAGCTCGGCGCGCTGGGGGAGGATGAGGCCGCCCGGCCGGAGCCACCTGTCCCGGGCGAAGATGACCGAGTTGAGCATGGACTCGTGCAGCAGCGCGTAGCCCATCCACTCGCTCACGATCAGGTCTACCTTCTCGGGCAGCTCCGCGCTCTCCACCGTGCCCCGGATCACCTCCACGCGATCCGCCACGCCGTTCAGGCGCACGACGCGCGCGGCCTGCTCGGCTATGGAGCTGGCCTCCACCGCGTACACCTTCCGGGCGCCGGCCTGCGCGCAGAAGACGCTCAGCACGCCGGTGCCGGCGCCCACGTCCAGCACCGCCTTCCCCTGGATCTGCTCGCCGCTCCGGAAGATGCCCCGCCTGTACGTGTCCGTGCGCACCGTGTCCGCGAGCATCTCCTCGTGGATGGTGACGTCGGCGTAGCTCTCGAAGTACAGGCTGTCCTGAGCGCTGCTGTCCAGCTTTCGCTTCTTAGACATGTTCTTCTCTCTCTCCATTTCACTCCACGCTTCTCCTCCACGCCTGCAGCCTCACTGCTGCCGGACGAAAAAGAATGCGCTGCATTCTGGGAGTTGTAGTCCCTCAGGCCCCCGCCGTACGCGAGCCTGGACGAGAACTCCTTCACAAAGAAACTACATTTCCTGGAGTTCGGGCGCCGTCGCGCACAATATACGAATTCTTTATTTTATTTATTTTCTTGTCGGCTTTTTTTATTTTAAAAAAGACTGGTCGTTTTATGCTGGTTTTGTGTTATTTTATTTTCGTTTTAATGATTTACTTCCTCGTTTTATTTGGCAACTGGTAGTTAATAGCTGAACGTGCTCAGAGAAAGCAGCACTATCTGAGCTCTTCCTTATGTCTTCTGACCCTTTTTGTGTCCGAGCTGCTCAATTAGTAGTTCAAAAAGTAACTACAGCGTTACTCCAACCAAAACAAAACATCTGCAGTGCATTCTGGGAGTTGTAGTGTCTGACAGTTAGCAGCTGAATGTGCTCAGAGAAGGCAGTACTACCCGAGCTCTTCCTTCTATGTTCTGACACTCTTTTTGTGTCTGGATAAATAAATAAATAAATAAATAAATAAATAAAAGAAAGAAAAAAAAAAGTAATTTTAAATAATTTAAATTTGCAGACTGAGATTACTTACCAAATGAAAGCAGGCAGGTACTGGAATTTGGAGACAGACTGGATTTGTGAATTTTTGTTTTAATTATATATTTTATACATAATGTGTGTGTGTGTGTGTGTGTGTGTGTGTGTGTGTGTGTGTTTATATATATACACACCCCCACTCATAAAACCCCCAACTAAACCCACATGCTGACATATAATAACACAATAAATACAAACACACAACTTAAACTAACAACAACCAACACTAAACAACATAAATAAGTCTCTTATTTGGAGGGTGTGCGCTACCATGAGCCTTTGCATATATATATTCATTCATCATCTAAACCGCTTATCCTTCCGGGTCGCGGTGGGGTGCTGGAGCCTATCCCAGCTGTCATTGGGCGGAAGGCAGGATACACCCTGGACAGGTCGCCAGTCCATCGCAGGGCAGACAGACAGACATACACATTCACACACACCTAGGGGCAATTTTAGCACGTCCAGTTGGCCTGACTGCATGTCTTTGGACTGTGGGAGGAAACCGGAGTACCCGGAGGAAACCCACGCAGACACGGGGAGAACAGGCAAACTCCACACAGAAATGACCCTGGTCGCCCGGCCGGGAATCGAACCCAGGCCATTCTTGCTGTGAGGCGACAGCGCTACCCACTGCGCCACCATGCCGCCCGCATATATATATATATATACACTCGGCAGTGGAAATATTTGTAGATGATTTTTTAATGTTGATGTTATGAATAATGTTAATAACAGTTGTGGCCCTAGCGCAGAGAGAGTGGTTATTTAGTGGTTATCTGGATTTGACCTGCCCATCATTTTCCCAGTTAAAAATCTGCCCTTATGCCTGCAGTACCTCTGAGCACTTCTCAGATGTTCCACCCATTTGATTAATGTTAAATCCTCAGGAAAGCTCGTCCTCCTTCATCCCAAAAAAGACTTGCTGGTAGAGAGCCTCACTGTGTTCGTATGAAGAGGTTAGGTGAGGATAGAGGCATTATGTTGTTTTTTAGTTTGTTGTGTTCTCAGGGTAGCTTCTGGAATGCTCAAAACGGCTACACCGACCTGAGTTTGTTTGTTTCCCAGTCCTGAAGGCTTCCTTTTAAACAACAGAGAGAGAGAGAGAGAGAGAGAGAGAGAGAGAGAGAGAGAGAGAGAGAGAGAGAGAGAGAGATGAAGATGGATCGTTCTTTATATTCTACAGTGAGTCTGGAGCACAGACAGAAAGGCAGGTGGACCTACAGGTTAGCTCCTGAAACAGCCCTTTCCCTATAAATGGAGTTTAAATTACAGACAGCTGTATCTTTTGGATTGTGTCCATGCAGGGGGTCATGCTTTCACAGACTGATTTCAGTGTGTCAGTCTGTTTCTCTAAAAGCCTAAAAGAGACTCTGTACAAACGTCAGAGTCCTCAGATACTCCGCCCACATGCGCAAACTTCAATTCCAAAAACGTTGTGACAATAAGGGAAACAGAAAGCAGTGATTTATAAAACCATGTTGACCTGTATTTAAAGGAAAACGGTGCAAAGGCAGGATATTTCAAGTTTTATCTCATCAACTTTGTTGTTTTTTGTATAAATGTAGGCTCATGCTGAAAGTAATGCCTGCAACACATTCCAAAAATAAATAAAAAAAGTTGGGGCAGTGGGAATGTAAGACTAAAATTGTTGTGAAATGTTTAAAAAACATCTTAATCAGGTGATGAAATCATGCTTGGTTATAAAAGGAGCATCCAGGAACGGGTGGAGGCTCAGCACTTTAAAATGATGCTTCAGCAAATAATCAAACAGTTTAAAAGCCACATTTCTCAACTAGTGGTTGTAAAGATTTTAGGTATTTCACCCTCTTTGGTGCATAATATGATCAAAAGTTTCAGGGAATCTTACATAGCATGGTCAAAAACCAACGGAATGCCAGTGACCTTCGACCCGTCAGACGACACCGTATTAAAAAAAGTGTAAAAAATGTGGAGATCACCACTTGCCTTCAGGAATACTTGGACAAATTGTTCTGTAATAAACACTGTTCATCTCTGCATCCGCAAATATAAGTTAGGACTTTTCTTTGCACAGTGGAAGTCATATCAACAACATCCAGAAACGCCGCCGACTTCTCTGGGCTTGAGCTCATCTGAAATGGACTGATGCTCAGTGGAAATATGTGATGTTATCATGGAAATAATGGATGTTGTGTTCACCAGGCCAAAGAAGAAAAGGACCATCCAGATTGTTACCAGTGTAAAGTACAAAATTCAGCATCTGTCCTGGTGGAGTGGTGTATTAGTGGCTTTAAACTACCTCGCCGTTCTCTTAAGCAGCTTCAGAAGGATCCACAAGGGATGTAATAGTATAACACTGTATTGTATTTTAGCAAATTGTATCGCATTGTATCATTGTATTGTGACTAATATGGTAGCTTGTGGCTTGTGTGTTAGCTTAGGTTTTCAAATATCATACTTTTATAATGTACACATTTAATTAAAATAACCAATCAACATGTTTAGGTAGGGCGCTTTTTCAGTCATTCCTCATTTTTTCTGAGTTGAAAAACGTGTTGTGGTTTCAGCATAGAATAAGACACAAACGAGGCCATGATTCTGCGGTGAGTGGTGCTCTGTTATTGAAACACCAGCAGAAAAGCATATACATAACATGGAACTCACAAGGCAGGTCACCATTAGCCATAGCCCCCCTCTCTATGGTAGCCACTCAACCCCGCTGACCCCACACCCTGACACAATAACACATAAACCACACATATGCACAACTTACCCAGAGCAACAACAACATAAACAACAATAAAAAGTCTGTGCCTCCCATGAGCCACTCCACATGACCCTCTGCATGGCCACACCCCCAGAGCCTCTACAGTAGCACGAGCCAGTAGCAGGATGCTAAGGTATCAAATCGAGACAATATCGACAGTATTGTATCAAATAACCAATTTTGTATATCGTTATATCCCTAAGAGCCACCTGGGATACTTTTCCAATTGGACGGGAGAAGATACAGATACAATCACACCTCACTGGCCGCGACTTCTTCTTTGATTATTTATTTTTTGGGGGAATAAATTCATACATCAATGTAAACATGTAGGCATATATCTTTAAAACGGTGGAAATGGTGTTATCAATCAGATTTTTCCAAACTTTTGACTGTATTTCTGGAAATAAGCGAGCCTGTCAGATGCTTAACAGGCCTTCGGATGTATTAATACTATTTGACAACATATGAAAGAGGCTGTTTGTCTCCCTTCGCTGGATGAAATATAATTATAGCTGTAGCCCATCCAAGGAGAAAAACTTAGCCTGGACATAATGATGAAAAAATCACACCGGCTAAATTTGATATAATGGCATAATGTGTCAAAATTTGACATCTTAAGTTGATTGTACATCATTTTCCCCAAACAAATGAATGAATTAAACATGAGATAAATTTGTATTTTCTTCAATGACTGTCTGTGTCATTTTCTCTCTCTCTCTCTCTCTCTCTCTCTCTTTCTCTCTCTCTCGGCTCGCCTGGCACTCGCTCGCGGGCAGCTGCCGCCGAAGCCCCTCACACACAGCTGGCGCTGGCCCAGGCCTTTGCTGAGCCAAACCACATTTTCCACTATGATGGATGGCACGTTCTGCCTTTAACCTTAACAAAATAACAACACGTCGCCCCCAGCCGTCACTCCAGCTCAGCACACGCCTCCTCCCGCCGCCAGACTGCCTCTCCACTAACCGTCAGACTTTCTACTCAGTTTCCTCCGAACTGTTACTGGCCTCCAGCTTGACTTTTTCAGGCAGGCTGCTAACACTTTGAACTCTGGGCTTATTCAGTTATTAAAGTAAAGACTTATTATTTAGTAAATACCAGAGGCAGGAAGTCACCTATGGAAGCCCCTTCACAGCAGGTGGAGGAGAAAAAAAAGGCTTTTCTCGTTCTGTTTTTGGCAGCAGTAAGTAAAAATATTGAGTTAGTATCTCAAAATAAGGACTCATTAGGTTGAATTAATAACCGACTCTAAATGTAGGTATTGTGATATAAACCGAGTCTGTTCTACAGTTTCTCATTAGGCTGAATGAATAACCGACTCTAAATGTAGGTATTGTGATATAAACCGAGTCTGTTCTACAGTTTCTCATTAGGTTGAATGAATAACTGACTCTAAATGTAGGTATTGTGATATAAACTGAGTCTGTTCTACAGTTTCTCATTAGGTTGAATGAATAACCGACTCTAAATGTAGGTATTGTGATATAAACTGAGTCTGTTCTACAGTTTCTCATTAGGCTGAATGAATAACCGACTCTAAATGTAGGTATTTTGATATAAACTGAGTCTGTTCTACAGTTTCTCATTAGGCTGAATGAATAACCGGCTCTAAATGTAGGTATTTTGATATAAACTGAGGGGTTAA